TAAAAGGAAGTTGTTTTTTCATTGGGAAACAATTGGTAGAGAAGGCAAGGGAACTCTTATCACTACATGATTTTCCAAAACAACTTAAGTGTAGTTTACAGAAAAAATTCTTCAGAGATGGGAGGTTTTTGGTATGAATTCAACAGCTGAATGGCACAGTCCCACACCCCTCCCCCCCCCCCCCCCCCCCCCCCCCCGGTCCTGACTTTTCTTGCTCACATCACATTCAGAATGGTTTCATCTTGTCCCCTGGAAGCATACTTCAAGTTTCAACCTTTAAAACTTTCTATGTGTGAAGACGGTAAGCTGTAATCAGACATCTAATATCATTTACACCCTTTCTCAAAGCGTTGTGTTGGAAGTATACTGTGGAAAAGTTTTTTTGAAGAAAAACTTGATCATTGCAAAAATTGACATTACACATAATCAGATCTGCTGGAAGACAAGAAAATAAATACTCAATGTTCTAAACATTTAATACTGAAGTGAGGCTTTGAAAGTCCTGTGTATAGCACAATGCAGATACAGAAAAGTTTGCCAGCTTGTAGCATCTTACATGCCTCCTACTTATTTCTGTGGAAAAAAAACCCAACAGAGCAAAATAACACCATCTGATAGAGCAAATTCTTGGTTACAAAATACAATTTTTTCAATGCTCTCGCTGTGCGTTTTCACCAGCAAAGAACAAGAGCTGCATGCAATTCATAACAATCTGCACCAGCAGAAGTGCCCCACTGTCACTGTCATCACTGCTGAAATGCAGCACCCACCCCTCAGTGTGCCAGCACCCACTTGTTTGGTCCCTATAAACATTCACAAGTGTTAATTAATGTCAATGGGTGCCATTTTTTCCACATGGAGAAATTCAATGGCACACCTTTGCTTCATCTGCATTTCCATATCAGATGCAATTCTGCTGGAGTGCCCCTCTACTGCCATCTGTCACAAAGCAACAAAATGTAATGGAGTGTTGGTGGGAAGGTTCAGCTTCTACTGCCATCCCACTAACATCTGCCTCTGAGGCTATGGGCCAGCGTAATGAAATAGGAGGCCTTACTTTCAGAGCAGCCCTCATATATTGCTATAACAGCAAGGCACTTGAGGAGGCTGTGATACATCAAGGTTTTGAAAGCAATGTCTTTTGAAAAAATGATTATTTATGGCAGCTTTAATTTTAACTTTCCTTTTTTCTTTTTGCATGTTTTCTTGCATGCACGTTCTCTTGGCTAACACTTAATTTAAAAAATGTTCCTGGTGAGGCTTCTGCCAGCTGACACAATGCCTTCCCAGCTGAAATACAATGTGCTTTCATTGCAGTCCTTGCTGCTTGTGTGGGTATGAGGCACCACTTTTCGGGCTGCCATTCAATGCTGTCTCTGTTAGGTATGGGCCTGCCTTTCCATACGTTAATACCCACTCAAAGAAATCTGGTCCTACTTCATTGGCAGCAACGCTGGTATCAATGCAGGCCAGTCATTCCCATGCTAACAACTACGAATGCTGTACTGTTGGATGGATGTCATCCTCTGTGCACAGACCACCAACTTATTCTGCAATCAGAATTGGATGAATAGGTTTTTCCACTGCACACTTTCCAGTGGATGGAGTTTTCAGTAAGCACACTCCAAATCATTCACTATCACAACAAAAGCAGACTTCAGACACATTTTGTTAAGCAGCATTATGTAGCTGAAACTAGCCTCCAGCTCATGTTTTCCCTGGAGATCATGAAGAACAGCTGCCTGGGCACAAAAAGTACCACCAAGAGGGAACTGCTCTCCTTGCTCTTGCAAATTTGCAAACCACAGAACTATCTGTCCTTTAGACACCACTACTGTCCCCATCTGTCATTACAGGGAGAGCAGCAGGACTGTAGACAGACCTCCCTCCGTGTAAGGCTCTGCGCAGTGCAGGTGAGCCAGGAGCCAGGAGATTACCCATCCCCTGGGGTGGTAGCTGCAGGACCAGAACATAACTGTACAGCTGTTACGTGAGAGTGGGTTCAAATATTGCTCCACACAACAGATGAGAAACTGTGTTACAAAAGCACAGTGTATTAAGGTATTTACTGGAAAGATCTGTACTGTAACTACTGTCCATTAGAAATATGGTCCAATTATCCAGTTTTGATTGCAGAATTAGTTGGTGCTCTGCACTGCACTTCAACAAACTCAATGGCTTACAGCGTAACAGCAACATTACCCTGAGAGGGTCCCTTCAAAACTGGTGCTACCCAACAGATGAACAAGTATAAATCAGAAATCATTGAACAGATGTTGAAGGAATCAAAAGCTTGTCAATGTCTGTTATCAGTCAGTAAGTGCTACGTATTTTCTTTGTGTTTCTTGGTATTACATAAATGTAGCCCCTCTGGAATTGCCAGCATTTCACATCAGAAAATCCTAGCATTGGTTTAAAATATTATTATTAACCCAAGTGCCAACTACATTTATTTTGTGTGAAGGAAAAAAGCCATTAAAGTATGGAAAGCTGAAAACAATGGGCTATTTTGTCATTCCAATTGTTACAACAATTGTTATTAGTGACAGATTTCTCCTTCACCTTTAGTCAAAAACTTTCTATAGAAGATTTCAAGCAGAGGGAAATGTTTGGGACTTTTGTGCCATGCTTTTACCCTGATCTACTTGGGACTGGACAGATAGACTGGATGCACAACCAAATTGAAAGAATAATTGCAGTGCATTAGGCTAATGACCTAACTGCTCCTAATCCCATTGGCATTTACAGAGCATGAGCTACTTAATGATTAACTACTTAATAAAGAAGTTTTGTCATATCCTTTATTAAAAAGCAGTACTATTTTGGAATTAGCAATAGCCACAAAAGAGTTGATGACAGAAGTCACTGAAAAATTGCAAGGCTCTCTTCTTGTACAATAAAGCCCTGGTTGCTACAGCTGTAACATTAATGAGTACTCTTTACGTACAGACATTCTTACTGTAGTTTCTAAAACAAAGCCTGCTGTGAGAACGTTAAGCACTCAACTCCAGAATACCCTACCTCATATCTGCTCATGAATACACTAACTCCAACTAAGTAAGAAGAGTTAGGTTGCATACAAAATAATGAGAGAAACACCACTTTGAATGAAGCCACAGCACAATAAATTCCAAGTCTCAGTTTAGACTCTAAACATCTAACATGGCTCTAAACATGGCTCAAGAAAGTTAACTAATAAAGCACCGGCAAGGCATATAGATACAGCTAAGAGAAACAGCTCCAAACAGTGACTATAAATATTCAGTGCTTGAGTGAAAAGCTGTCTAGTTCATTTGAGAGCACTGAGACCAGTGGTGTCCTAAAAACAAAGAAGCTGCCTAATCCTATCTGTGTATCAGCAATTTTCAATCACTTGAAAACTAGAGGTGGAGATTTTTCTGGATAGTTGGTATCTAACTGACCAGCACTCCCTATTTTAAAAGCTTTCACAGAAACCTGATTCTGAACTCCCTTAGCCTTGAAGGGATTCAAAGACAAACCTCCTATCCCAGCAAAGTGTCATGAAAACCAGGCTCAGAATGAGGACTCTGATGGATGCCTTCTTGCACACCAAGCTTCAGAAATCTAACATGATTTGCCCCCAGCCATTAGCTCCTGCTGATCACCCGGAGGTTAGCACTTCCTCAGCTTGAACAGGAACCAGCTATGATGAGAACACCATCTCACGTTCTGCTCCATTTAACCAAGCTGTGAGCTGCTTGGAAGGAATTCCCTCTGTCCCCAGTTCTCTTTCTGTTCTGATAGATACAGCAATCGTGGCAATATTACAGAAAAATAACCTGCCCCACAGATAACTGCTGCTGATCCAAACCTGTGGTGCAGTTACACAGTCACTGAAATTGTTTCCAGAGATAGACTGTGACAAACCCTTTTGGCAATTACTAGTTTGATCCAACTGCGTGCAACTACATCCTGAATACTTTACATAGTTGTGGGCAAAGACTGGCAGCAGGGCCATCAGAACAAGGGACGCAATAGTGACTGGTAGAGCAGACGTTTCCCTCTCATCAGCTGATGAGCAGTATAGCTGAATAAACTCCTATCACCTCTGTCTATTGACAGGCACCTCACATCCCTATGTGGATCTCATCTGAGTCCAGGCAGTAGAGGCTGATAAAGAGCTAGAGAATCCTCCTGTGTTAGTAGACAAATAGCAGGCAGAGAGACCAGGCAAAGAGCGATCATAATCATACCAATGTGCCTGAATAATGAAAGAATAATTTTGTCCCTGTCAGAAAGGCCTTGTTCAAAATCAGACAAAAAAGTTTCTTAAAGCAGCATGGCCTCATTTTCTCTGTCAATTATGAAGACTGCTCTGAAAATAATGCCTCCTACTTCATTATGTTGGTCCACAACATCAGGGGCAGATGTTGCAGGAATGGCAGTAGAGGTTGAATCTTCCCACCAATACCCCATTACATTTGGTTGCCCCGTGACAGATGGCAGCAGAGGGGCACTCTCAGAAAATGGCATCTGACGTGGAAGTGTGTATGAAGGAAAGGTGCGTCACTGAATTCCTCCATGTGGAAAAATGGCACCCACTGACACTCATCGATGCTTATGAATGTTGATGGAGATGCAGCAGTGAGTGTTAGCACAGTGAAAGGTGCAGAAATTCTGCAGTTCAGAAAAACTGTACTACAACCTTCTGGTAAAAATCAGCATTTCAGTGTTCTGCAGCGGGTAGAAGTCTGATACTAGGAAATAATTGTGCCACCACATTATCATAATTCTGTGAAGTTACTGATCTTTGGCCCTGTATTGTACTTTTCATTGCCACTTTCAGCTATACTAGTAACTAAGTTAAATAGTGATTGTGAAGAAACAGCCAGGCACTTCCACCAGAGACTGCCTTTCCTTGTCACTCATGATTAGTGTTCCACTGTGTGTCTTATTTCTTAATGCAACTTAAAGTATAAAAATTAAATATTTAATGTAAAAAAAAAAAATCATTACAATAAGCAATTTAATTCACCTACCTCTGGCTTCCTGCCTAGCCCAGAACTCTTCTACTCTTTGAAAAATGATTTTTTCATCTCTCAACTGCTTTTGCCACTGACGCAGCTCCTGTACTTCCCTATCACAGCGGACCTGGAAAAGGAAAGCAGAAAACGCAACTAACATTATACACTCATGTTACTCAAGGTCACAAGTCTTTGTTTTTTATGCTGGGCTGTGGCTGTGCAAATATGTGGCATTCATCCTTTTTGCAAGGCTTGATATAAAGCATGATCCCAGAGGTTTACAGCATTCAACTTACACAGAACTAAAACCCACACAATTGACTAACCCCTCTGAAAACATAAATATGCCAATTAAGGGATCATTTTGATTACCAAGGACTCCTGAGAATGTGAATGCAGTGAGATGCCAATTCTTAAGTCAATTAAAATTTAAAGCATTATACTGTAGGGTATTAATGCCTTTAGAAAACCACAATGCTATAAAACCAACCCTTTGATCAACACAATAGAATAGAAGAGGCACATGAAGGGTCATACAGCAGGAAATTTATTCCAGCAAGCTGATTCACACCTGCTACCAGCTGCAATTCTAGCCATACCATTTTCACAAATAGAAGAGGCATTAATCTCTTATTTAAAGTAATTGGAATGCATTACATGATGTCTATTCTTTGGCAATCACTTCTATGAAAAGCCTAATTCTACTTCCATGAGAATGACAACAGTCACAGGCTTTATCTCCATATAAGTTGAATTCCTCCATTATTGCTTTTGTACTGGTATAGATCCTACAAACATAAGAAGTAATTCAGCTTTCACCACTCCTGAACTGGCTCTAATCCACACTTGATTAAATGGCAGTATGTTGCCCATTATCCACCTTAGCACTCACACAATTACTACCTCCAGCATTAAGAGCAAAAATCCAGAATAGATGCCATCACTCTGACAGTAGCAGGTAGTGGTCACTGTAGTATTTGCTCACTGATAAGTGATTATTCTCTTAGAGTCACGTTCAGATAATAATAGAATTATTTAAAATAGAGTTTCTGTTTTTTTCTAAATGATACGGATACGAAATGCCATTTGCCTTAGGACATAATGTCCTAGTTATTCAGGCTGAAATTAAACAGCATTGGAGAAACAAGCACCCATATGCATGGATTCTCCTGGATATGTTTTACTTTCAGGAAGCTGACTGCTTAGCTGTCCAGAGAATGTTTACTTTATTTTTGGATGATACAGTAATGAGCCTGCTCTGTGATTTAAACTCTGCAACTCTACTGCAATACATTCCAGTTTTCACATGCTTTTCTGAGATGTACAGAAAGCAAAACAGCAGGATGCAACTTTCCACTTGTTTATATATATATTATATATATATATATATATATATATATAAAATATATATATTTTTTTAGCAGAAGTATTCTTCCCACACAGAATTTCTCCTCTGTGGTGCAACTAAAAATGCAACAGACAGCAGCTGCACTCCAGCAGCAGTTTTCAGTCCACGCTGGAGAAGATAACTTGGCATATTTCAGAGCACTGACAGAGTAGGAATACAGTGCAAGGTTATATAATCAGTACAGGTGGGGAAGACTCTCCCTAAGTCACTTGACATCAGATACTTCTTAGGCCTCTTAAAATATCCCACTGTACTACTACAGTTCTGTATTATCTCCTATAAAGGATACACAAAGTTCTTACAAGGTGAATATAAAATTTTAAAAAACCAAACAAACACAAAACCTCGATGTATTATTACTAGTGATTTCTTTCCACAGAAATATATTTTAAAAATTCTATCTTCTATGAAATCCTTGACACACTATTTCAAAAAATAAAATATAATCCCAGACAGAGGATAGTATGCTTTTATAGAATCCCCAATTCTCTATTTCAATGAGTCCATTTATTTACACAGAAAGGGGCTAAGGGAATGCTTATGGAACATTAAAAAAAAAACAGCAGAAAAGAGACAGGAAGACACAAAAATGAGTACCCCTACTTCTAAATATGGAACCGTTGGGAAAAAAAACAAAGTGTCCTTTTATAAGTGCAGACATTTAGAATCTGTATTTTGGTATGCAACAATACCACAGTGCTCTCTGTATACTGAAAATGAAGATAATGACTCTAAGCTGTTAAAAGGTAGGAGATAAGCACAGTGGATTCTGTATACTCTCAACAAAATAGCGAGTACAGTGAAATACACAGCAAAATACAGGGCTCTGAGATAAAGAAAGGCATAGTCAGACAGAATTAGATACTCCAAGGTCCCATATGAAATCCGAGCAGGAACACGAACTCCCAGGACAAAGAGATTTTTTAGAAATGAGAAAGAAAAAGGAGCATAGGCAGTAGGATCTGAACGGAATCCTATCCTCATGTTCTAAATATTCTTCAGGATCTCTAATTCAGCATATTCATGATAATTTCACAGAATGTAGCCTATTTGTAATCAGAGTGCAATTCTATGGTTAAAAAGCCATGACTCAGCAGCCAAAACTCCAGGTAAGTAATCAATGGCTCAAGTATTGTTCAACTGATGTCTTTCCTGTAGATCAGCAGCCCAGCTATGAACTGAGAGCAAACATAACATTTCTCTTTAAAAACTCAAATCACATGGACAGAATCTACACTTGCTGTAAAGAACAGCAAATATTCAGGTGACCTTCTAGATCTGACCCTTCACCAGTAGCCACACTTTACTGGAAAGGAACAACCTATGGCAGCAAAAGCACAAGAACACTCTGTAAGAGTTCCATTCTGAATTAACTTTTGCTTGACCAATATGTTTACATAGAACAGCTTAAGCTACAGTTAAAGCTTTATAATACTTCAGGATTTACGTAGACAAATACTCTCTGTTCAATGCTAGGTAAAAACGTGTCAGAACAGTGGAAGGATGCTTTTGCTGGAAACATTAGAGGAAATTCTATTAATGAAGAAATCTGTCAGTCTAGATAAGTTATACAAATTATAAAGATAAAAAGATCCCACGAAATAAGTAGCAGTAAGCATATATTCTGCAGTAGAAGGGTGAAATTTACCTTCTTGAAATGGAGACATGCCTGGAAAATTGATACCTACCAGTCAAGGGTTTTCATTAGACATTGGAATACTGCCTTGGCCCATGATAGATAAATTGGATGTCAATAGAAGAGAACGTGAGAAGTAAAAATAAAGATATTTGATGAAATAGCTGTCAAAAGCTTTATTCCAGCTGCTTGCCTCACAAAGACCTCTCGAGATCTTCTTTCTTGACCTCCTCAGAGAACCAAGCCAGACTGCTTTTGTGTCTCATTTGTATGTCTCATGTATAAGCAACAAATGAGATTATCATTACTCCTTTGAAGTATACTGATTACCGAATATTCCTTTGTTTGGTCCTGGAACTAAGAGACTTTTTCTGATAGGAATGGGAAACTGAAGGTTTGAATTAGAGTTTCTTTTGAGTGAGCCTTCATATCTGTAAACCAACAACAAGATCTCCAGAAAAACAATGGAGGTGATGGCAGCAAATGCCTGTTTGCTCAACTGCACCTCCCTGCAAGGCAAGCTCTGCACCCAGAAAGCACCTTCCCTTTCCTGCTAGGCTGTGCTTATAACAGCTAACATCACTTACTGTAATTTTCTTCTGCTAAGGTCCTAATCTAACATTCCACTATCTTGTCAGCTTTTTTCCTTTTAAACCAGAAAACTGTTATAAAAGCAACTAGATTGTTGTTTGCATTTCAGTGTGTGGCCTGGTGCTTTTGTATCTGTACAATCAATGAATATACAGATGTCATGAGATGTACCAGAGAGCTTGGCTACGCATTTATTACACCAGAGCAGAAAAGACAGGATGCTTACCCATATTCCTGGGTTCACTTATGAAACTCCAGCAGAGAGAATCTCCAGCAGAGATCCTTCCCCACTTGCAGTCAGCTCTTCAATGGGTCTGGGAGAGGCGCAGCCAGGCTCCACCCTTCCAGCAGCACAGCTGAATCACCTTCACCTGTGCTCCCAGGGCTGCCTCATGGCTCGCCTCAGGTGATCAATCAGAGGTTCAGGCCCTGATTCAGCAGTTCTCATACAGTATCTGCTTTGTAGTACAGAATTTGTCTTGAATTTGAAACAAATGTCTTTGTATGAAAGATCATAGCAAAGGCTTTGTGGAGAGCAATCTATTACCAAAACAAGGATTTCTCTAAATTCTGGTCTAGGTAAGGATGAATGTAGTTTTTCAAGTTATCTTTTATTACCAGAAAGTGGTATATCTATATGATTTTTTCCTTCATATAGAAAAATCCTCAGTGACTGACAGCTTTGTTTTTATGATTCCTGCGCACAGGCAGACAGCCAGATGTGCAGAAATAAGAGAAATATATGAGAAGATGAGATGCTTAGCCAGCTATGCAAGTAATAAAGTCCATTGTCCAGATCAGCGTGGCTAATGAAGCATCTGAAACACAGTGAGTTCAAACAGGATGTGTCAGAGAAAATAACCAGCTCTGTTTTCTCATATTTTATATGAGATCATTTATAAATAATAACAATAATATAAACTTAGAAAGTTCATATCAGAGTTATTTATATTAAGGAAAAACATCTAAATTCTCCTCTAATTTTTCAGACTCTATCATTACTGCATTGAATTCTCATTTAAACAGTGTTTGCTTAACTTATAAGCTCAAAGATAACATGTAACCCTGCAGAATAACTTGCTACAAATTATTTTGATTTTTTATTCTCACTTTAAGTTCTAGTTTTTAAAAGTCCAAGTTTTTTCATCTCTAATAAGCTAAAGTACGTAACTGTTAATTTTATAGTCTGAATTATTTACATAGAATCATATCATAGAACACTTGATTTTCAATGTCTCTTTTTAATGCTACAGTTCCTCTCTCATTTCTAGGAATCAGTTTCAAATGATAAATGCTATGCTGAAAATTTTAAAGTTAACAAAATGAGAAGGGATTGTGCCCTTCAGAATGTCTGGTAGAAGCACAAGGTATCTGAGCAACCATGTGGGGCTCAGCTCACTATTATTGGATGTATGCCTTTGTAATACTCCACTGCAAGGATGCCTGCAGTGATACTGTCAGTGCTAATTAATGTTAGAGTCAACGCCATCTTGTTTAGAAAAACAAAAATCAAGAAAAACAAACAAATACAAAGTGTCAAAAATCAGTCAAGAAGATCATCTCAGGATATTTCACCATTTTTGCCTGCATGGCACTTTATAATAGGAACTCATATATTCACGATTGTTAAAATAGGACAGAAAAAATTAACAGAGATTGTTTTATTCTGAACGTGATTTAGAGAACACCAGATGTATAGACAGATCACAGTGAGACTATCATGATAGCAGAAGCTATTTACAGCCTTAAGCTATGATAAAGGCAGTCAAAGACACTTTTGTCACATGATTTCTAAGTCCATTTTTTCTAAAATCATGACGGTTTTAGAGCCTTAGAAAGAAAAGCTTGCCAGAATCTCCTCAGGATTTTCAAAATAATTTGTATCTTATCCTAGGCTTAGCACTACTGTTACACTCCAAAATAACAGCAATAGCCAATTTTCTTCATAACGTACTCAAGGGCCTTGCTTTTCCCCCTTACACTGGGGAGTGCATTAGCGCTGGTTCACTAGTAAGCTTTGCATCATCTGAAGAACAGCCCCCATTCCTCTCTGGTCTCATTTGTTGTCTCAGTGTTACCATCTTTGTTTCTATACGCTTCTATTTCTGAACAGACCTCACTGATCTTCTATACACCCCTACACTCACTCACTCTGTATAACTCTAAATGACACAAAATAACATTTTAGCAACTTGCCAAAGACAAAATGTAAATTGTTCAGTATTTTGAAATTTGAATCACTGTGGATTTCATGAGAAAAACAGGAAGATTACATCAGTGTAAATGCCTGTGAAAAGATTGTAGTCACTAGGCATAAGGCAGAGCAACATCCAAAGTCAATGAACCATGAGGGTCTCAACAGCTATTTATAGTATCCTCTACTTAAAATTTATGTAAGGATTTTCCCTAGGGCCTTCACAGTCCTACAGATTCAACATCAAGCAAAGTAATTATAGATTATTCTTACCCGATAACCTCTCCAGAATGCCTGAATTATTATGCTTGCTTCTTCTTCTGATAGGAAGAAAGACAGAGGCAATGGTTGCCTGGGACTAAATTAAAAAAAAAAATAAAAATTGTAAAAGACTGGCCTTCAAAAGTACATTACTTTATTCCTTAGCAATATGTTTTATAAAAAAGGTTGCTCAGGAGCCTGAAACATGCTCTAAGATAAAAGGTGCAGTTATTTCTCCTTTAAAATATACTCTATGTATGCTACAATCATTTCTTCCTTAAAATAATAATAAGGTAATGGAATGCAAAGCACAGTAATCTTTCTTACTCTTCCTATGTGGATTCTGAATTGCTACCATTACAGTGGGGTTTGGGCTTGCAGTGGGAGGGGAGCAAGAGGTGTTGGAAACATGTCATTTGTAAAGCAAAGGAGGTTTTAGCATGCATGTAACAACAAACAAATTTATGACAAATGTTTATAACCTAATTGTTAAAATTGTACAACTTCAATCTATTTTACTACCTACAGCTACATTATGATTTCACTTAAGTGGAATGTACTAAAAATTAAAAAAATGATAATTATTGCATGTATTGCATTTCTGATGACTGAGAAGTACCCTAAGCAATACCTACATTTCAGACATCACTAATAAAAACTCAAATCATGATATCAAGTCTTGCTTTGCAAAAGTCATTTTCTATGAAAGTTGATTTATGTATCACACACATTGATTTAAGAAATACCAATCTGGATGGAGAAGACATTAATTTATACAGCTTTCTTTTGTACTAAATGTAATATAGTATTTACAGACTTCAATGTTGCAACTCATGAAAATACCATTAGTGGAGTTGGCAGCGTTAGAATGGCGCTAAGAGCCACTCTCCCTGCATGGGACACAGCAGCACAGCTTTGACTCAGAAGACCACAACATGAGGAGTTTGGATGAAGCAATAATTTGGATTTAAGTACAAAATATGTTTTTGTCAGTATCAGGCTTAAGCTCTGCTTTAACAATACTAGAGGCCATGTACTACAAAGACCATAAGTAACCAATCTATCCAGTCCTACACTTAGTGGCTAGAACACCACTTCTGCTATTTCTTTTCGAAACCTATCTTTAAATACATTACAGTTCAGGCTAGAAGGTCTGACAGCTTACATTTTCCTTCCATTTAATTTCATTTCTCTTTGTCTCTGCCCTGGTAAGCTTCCTGTGCTCTCCAAGGCCTTTCTCTTAGAGCTTATCTTCACTGAAGGAGTATTTCCACGTAGAGCACAACCTCGTGCTGCATTGACTGCATCATTCGGGCTGGCACACTCAGCTGCACCGCTCTCATCATCTTGTTACTCGGCTCTTGGGTACATTTATTTTCATGGGAAAGAAAACCTCAGACTATTTGGAAGAATGGAAATAAAGCAAAAATGAAGAAATTCGCTCCACTAAGTAAAACAGTGCTAGCTCTATGAGCATTAATTAGCATTTCTGCTGCTCAAGGGAAACTGCATGTGCAAGAGAAGCAAAGCTTCCTGAGCTAACTGCTTCTCATAATTAGACTTAAAAACACAAAGTTAGATTCTGCTGTTTTGGCTGATAGGCTTTCATTCACTGTTCTATTTTTGATCTTCTTGGAAACAAAATCTTACAGTGCGAAACACACTGAAAGACCTACATTACAGAGACCCACTTCACAGCAGTCATATGAAAGACACTGAAGTTTCCTAAGAACGAGTACATCTCTAAGGAACAGACTGAGATTCCCCCTGGCCTGCAAGGCCAACTATAGCATTCCATTGCTTTCATTTATAAATTATAAAAACGTCTCATTTATAATCTAACACTGTATTTAAGAAACCAATATAAATTCAAGCAAGAAGTACGGGACTTCATTTTCAGTGTGACAGCTAGTGGCAAATATCAATCACTTCTGAAATATCAATCACTTTAGCAGGGCAGCTTTAGAGAACAAAAGTCATGCCAGGTCCATTTTTGTCTAAGTGAATATACACAGTTGGCTTCAGGTCAAATAAAAATAGAGTCTGAACAGAGGTAATCACCCATCAGCACCGAGCTAGGAAAAGAGGGAATATGTCATCTGTGGCAGAAGACAGCTGCATGATTCCAAGAAGATTAAAACTGACAGCAAAATGCACAGTAGCTATCTTCTGCTTATTTAGTCTTTGATTACGATTTAAGTATCTATTTTGATATATGTATGTGATATATTGCATAAAGTTGTACCTGTAAAAGAGAATCAATAAAACGACTGTCCACAGTACTACAATTTACCAAACATGAATAAAGCAGACGCTGACCAGAGGACAGTTACATTTCAGGAAACACATTTCTTGCATTGTGCTCAATCGAGCTTTACAGATCCTGACCACGTGAGATACTTTTTACTTACACCACAGCACACAGGTGAAATTTACCTCCCAGAAGGTCCAAAACAGACTTCATTAAACAGATGCGTGAGGTACTGGGAGAGGTTCTCACTGATGTTGTGTGTCTTGTTTCCCCCCGGAGAGAAGCTAGGCTTCCCAGCAAGCTCTCAGAAAGGGCAGGGAAGAACCTCCACTGACAACAAAACAGCCAAGCTGACATGGAGGCTCACAGTCCCACAAAGGGCTCTGCATACAGTCGGTATTGTTATGCAGTCATGTCTGGAAGCCCCAGCTGTTCTTACACTCCCCTCTGTACTACAGATAGGCCCGATTCCTTCCTTGAAAAGTAAATGTAAGAAAGAAATTTAATGGAGGGCAATTTTCACTATGCTTAACTCAGGACTTGGTAATTGTGCAGGACGGAGTGCAGGAGGGAGCGCAGGTAAGTGCAGTTGCCAGGGGGTTTTCTCTCTTTAGAAAGCTGTTCTCTTGAAATAATGAAGTAAACTTGCAAAGAGGCACCAGGTCCCTCTTCTGGAGGCTTGCAAGTTTCAAGATAACAGCCACTGCACACCAAACAGCCTAAGCCATTCCACCTTCTATCTAACTGTGATGATTACCGTTCTTGAGTATTGGTATCATGTATGAACACAGGCAATGACAGAGTCATGGCAGAATTCCTGATCTAAAGGACAAAATAACAGAACAAAGAATTGGAAGAAATACATAAGACACCAAAATAAATGAATGCGGTGATCTCCTTAAGTCCTAAAAGAGGATTCTGATCAAGTTTGGGAAGTACTCAAATGAGATGGTGGCCTGAACAATCAAAGCCATCTTTTATATTTTCAGTACTTCTTATTCCCACCCAGAGAATGTAGAAATATTACAGCAGCACCTGCCTTCATAGTGTGCTTCTTCCATGTCAAAGGTATTGTTTCATCTCAAAAATAAATAAATAAATAAATAGAATCCCGAAGCTCTTCTTATAGATACTGCTAAGATTTAAGATTATTTACACCTAAACAAAACAGAACCAAAAAAACCCACCAAAACAACAAAGAACAAGAGGAAGAAAACTGCTGGTAAAAAAGGGAGACCAAGGTACCAATTTATCTGAGCTGGTATTTAAAACTAATTAGGTACATTAATCACATGTTACACTGTCCCTGCATGAGCCTCAGAAGTTTGCAGGGGAAGATTCCCAGAAACAATTGACAAAAGTACTCCTGGAACACTTCCACAGGGCAGGCTGGGTGCATAATGAAGCATAGTGCATTGTGATAAAACATGAAAACATGCAGTAATCTAAATACACTGTAATAAGAGAAAAGCATTGGAACAAAAAATTCCTTACAGTATATAAGTAAGCAATTCTGTGCATTATATGGAAGGCACATTTTTGAAGAATTGTGAATGTGGGCAAGGGCAAATTTAATCTCCTGAAGTAAGGACGTGCAAATGAGCTGACATTTTGAAGAGTGACTCTTGCTGTCTGACCTCCTATTACTTTCTGTAACTAACGGCTCCTCGATAGTATCAATAGTTAAGTGAAGAATAAATAAACGAATGAATGAATGAATAAATAAATAGATTTAGACCCCTATTGCCTACCTCCATTCTCTGAATCTTACACAGCTTCATAGGATCACACTTCTGTATCTTGAATAACTCAAGTATTGGCTATAGGTCATGAACAAGGCAAACATTTCACTTTTAAATCATCTGCCCCATTTCTGCCTCTTACAATTTTAACAAAAACTAACAAGTAGTAAATTTTAGCTTGATTAATTGGTTTTGACAACATACAATGATGAACAGATCTGATGTAAAACACATGAATGTAGGCTAGATATGCAACCCTCCCTCCACCTCCATACCCAGGGTGCTGGGAAACCCAACAGTTTAGAGCTGCAGCTTCTTCCACTTTCAAGGCTTTTAGGAAAAAATACCTTCTACATACAATTTAACTTGGGCTGTTTCTTCCTTCTATGCAAAGGCCTCAGAATGGGGACAATACTGTGCATGTATTACCTATAATTGTAGCAGAAAAATATTGCAGAATATGAAAAAGGAACAGCAGCAAAACTAGTCTCCAATAGTACTCTAGTAGCATTATTAAGATGCCACAAACCACCAATATGTTCTGAATTTTTCATTGCCACTTGGACAATCTTTAGATAAATTAAGGCAAGTTATGACACTGCATCAGGATTTGTAGCCATAAAACCTCAACCTCATAAAGCACCATTACACGACATAAATATTTAATACATAAAGTTTGTGAAGTTCTGACAATGCAATTTTCCAATACACAATCCTCTTTTAAGTCAAAATTTTATCCTTCATTAACTTGAATTCTGCCACATTACTGCAATGTCAATTCTTTACTTGGATCCACGCAGAATAAAATCCATACAGATGTATTTGTCTGACTTCCCTCTTAATAAAATTAAAAGTGCTGCTCATCACATCAAAAAGTTTAAGGTTCAAATTTTTAAGGAAAATTAAAGAGAAAACATAATGCAAACTAAATATATACCAAATAGGGCTAATTTGGAGACAGACAAGAGAAATAAAACTGTCTGCAGAAAGCAAAGCCTGTAGAAAATGGGCACATTAAGGAAAGAAAGAAATCAGTCACCCATGCAAAATTACCCCTATTGGCCATCTGAGAACTGACAATGAAGTCAACTGTAAAGGCAGCTGAGACCAGCAGGCTTTTCTAATTAGAGTATTGGGGGTGGGTAAAGGGGGAAAAAAAAAAGCAAAATCAATGTGTATATATGTACAAACAGACATTTGGCAGAAAGCCACTACTTCAGATTTAGCAATCATTTGTAGATATATATATGATCTGTCCACTTCATTAAAGCAAAGATAAATGATTTGCTCTATGGATGCACATTTGTTTTCATACACACAGACATTAAATGAGGAAATGTATCCTTCAGAACTGAATATCCAGTAAATACCTCTATACAGAAAATTAGGAAATGCAGATAAAACAACCCTTGTGAACAAATGTTTATAAAAGATCCTGAATTCCCTGTAATGTGCATATGCAAAGATTAATCCTCAACAGCCAGAAAAATATACATACTTATCTTTCAGTGAGTGTAAGGGTTGAAGATAAACTTGAAAAATATTGTCATGTTATTAAATTCAGTTAACATCAGGCTTTTATAATACCAAAACTTATCAGTGCAATGGAATGCTTTGGATTTTTAAAATTATTATTGTTTTCTATTTCTTTCCTTAATAGGCTTAAGACATTCCCATGACATTCCCATAATGCTCAGAATAAAGATGCAGCCTATGCTAGAAAAGCAAAGTTTAAGTGGGATTAGGGCATAAACACAGATCAAGCTTGACTTCTCCATGATTCAGTCTCATGTACAGAGTTTGGTTACATGTGGTTGAACATCTAGAAAATACTGACAGAAGACAACAGCGTTGCTTATTAGCGCATTTAAAGAAGGAAAGCAAAACACGTAGGCTTTAATTACATTAATTCCATTTGAATATACCAGTGGTGTTGAAAGTAAGATAGGGATATATTCCAGTAAGTTTCCAAAACCTTTTGTTAGTTGCTTGTTAAAACTTCAGTTTTCTGTCCTCTAAATGGCACAGCTATCCTTCAATGCAACATAAACGTCTTGTGCTCTCCTGGGAGTGAAATGTAGATTAACAGTCAGTGTGGAGGCTGCTCCTTCTATTGCTTATGAAATCTGCTTCAATAATCAAGGATTCCAAAGGGATATAATATCTAGGTGGCTCCAAAAGCAATGCCCCATATTTATTCCTCGTGAACTACAACAGTCATGAAGAGCAAAATTACACCATTTAATAGGGCAAATTCTCAGCTACAAAACATTATTTTTCAACACAGACACCATCACTAGCTGCACAATTTTATCAGTGATGAACAAGAGCCTTCCTAGGGGGGAAGGTTCCACCTCTACTGCCATAGCACCAACAACTGCCTCTGACATCATGGGCCAAACTAATGAAATAGGAGGCATTGCTTTTGGAGCAGCCTTCATATGTCGTCTCTGCTACTAGTACTATCCTGAGCACAGTGAAGACAGTGTAAGTATACTAGGGCTTTTATGTACTGCTATCATAGCAATTACTGTAAATACTAAAGCTGAAAATAAACCTGAAGTAATTTTACCAGTTTACGACAACCAACTTTTAAGGCAACAATGTTTGAATTTAAAATTCTGGAAGCTGACTTCAGGTCTCCTAAAGGGAAACTCAGCTGGAGGATCTCACTTAGAAACACACAGTATGGGAAGTGAGGCTCATAAGACCATGACTTTGACTATTCTTAAAAAAAAAAAGCTGCAAAGAAGAACTGGAGGCACTGGAGGAGAGCCAAAAAAGTCATAGTCAAGTATGGAATATACTAAAAAAAAAGATAACAATTACAGACAAAAACAGAAATGACAATAAAATACAGAGACTCAATCACATTCTAACTGTTGTGTCTAGGAGGATAAAATAATAAATTATTTATAACTTACCCAGAAGAACATAATAACAAATTCTCATTTAATATTTCTATCTTTCATTTCACAATAGTGATGCTTACTTCATAAGCAATATTTGTTAAGAAATCTGTAATTGCAAGGTGTGTTCACACTAGAATTGCTTTTCAATAAATTATTTGTGAAGGCCTCATTGCTCAGAGGACTGGAGACCAAATGCATATAAATTTAAAAAATACTTTGACACGTCAGTGTCCTTGTGGAGCTGTCACTATGTTATTTAGGAGCACAAGTCCTAGCAGAAGCTATGAGTCATTCAGACTGTGATTCCACAGTGTATTCTCTTGTTGGCAAAGCTGACTTAAGCAGTTCCTGCCACCACCACTACATCTTACCGGCTCATTTGCTTTCTTCACCTTGGCCTGAGCTCTTCATTTTAATCTTTCTTTTGTGCCAATGCAAAGGATTGTTTGACTCCCAAGTGAACCAGATTGGAGAAATGATCTACATTTTAAAGAGCTATACAAAACTATCATATTTGGCAGAGATATTTTTAACTCGGAGGAGGTTTCTGGTCAGAATAACCAAGCATACTATCAAACAAGGTGCTATCACGTTGACTAGAAGCAAATTGGAATGAAGAACAGGAGAGGGCAAGGAACAATGTAGGTTAGCTTTACTTCTAGGAGGGATATTTGTTAAACTGTGAACTTAGACATTTATTTTATGCATAGATATCCACCCCAACCATTCAGCGGTATCAAATTGCCTTACTGTCCAAAGGCTCTTAGTATGCTTAGGAAATCAGTATGACAACCTCACTGCATTTCATAATTAGCTTCACAACTCCAAAATTACTGCCTTAATTAGGAATTCTGTTGGCAAGACCATCTAGTGAATTTTAGAAATTAGAAAATTTTAGAGGCACCACACAAGGCTCGAACAACAGCAGCTGGGCAGTATGATACAGTAAAGGTACCTGAAGCTAACACAGTTGAGATGAAATGGGTCACCCCCCAACGGCTCCCTTAGTGCAGAAGCTTCCTAGGCAGCTTTGATGACATGACTGTCCTTAAGATAGCCAGAGTTAATTGTCCATGCCTCACTTTACAACTTGCTTCCAAAAACCAGAATATACCAAGGAGCTTTCCTCTTGCTGGGTCAGTGACTCAAGGTTCTAAGTCTCTCCAAAGGATTCTGTTTCACAAGAAAGCTCAACTTCCACTTACGTAGCACAAAGACTCAAACATGCCTACAGTGACATTCATCTCTAAGTTTTCACCAACGACCAATCTAGTCTCCAATTAAGTATTTAACAGGAAACTTTCTCCCAAATCTGACCTCCTCAATTTCTTTATTCTCTCACCCTGGGCTGTACTTTTTTCTTTTTTTCATACCACAGCTGCACTGTAAAACAAAGTGAAACCTCAAGAACAGTAACAAATGTTTCAAATTGCTAGGTAGGTGGGTTCTGAGGGAATAATGAGAAACCTGGGGTCGAGACTGCTGAAACAAGTGCTCATTACTCAAGTGCAAAGTCATACATATGGGCATAAATGCATACTAATGCCAAAGATTACTACAAGTACTTTTAAAACAGCTGCTTACAGTTAGAAGAAGAACTTCTAGATCGTATTTCCTCAAAGATTTCCACTGCAGGAGGCAGCATTAAAAACACTGTTTTGTTCCTGATTACAGTGATACTCATAATACTACCAGGTTATTTGCATGTCCTGCTCTGTTTAACAATTGATGTTTAAGAATTCTAAACCAACTTATCCGTGAACAACCCTAAGGCAAAAAAGATGTTGTAAACAATACACTACCAAGTTAGAAAGGATCATATAGTTCTTTACTGCACAAAGTAGAGGGCATTTAGAGTGGAAAAAATATAATGCACTCAAACCATAGTACATTTTTGTAATAACTGGAGGAAAAGAATAAAAAGAGGAGAGATTACTCTGACTACTGCAATAACTTACTGGTTCTTTAGCCAGTCGTGAACAAAGGGGATAGAAAAGAACTCTGTGAATGACTCATCTTTCCTCCTTGGATTGTGGCTGATTAAAACAAACAAACAAACAAGAGAAAAAGAAAGCAATTAATATTAATTTAAAGAGCAGCTATTCCATTTAGAAATTACTGTCTTTGAGCCACTGGACATATATTAACAGCAAAAGCCATGATTAACTTACTTGTATAACCACTCCGTTAGGAAATCACAGGCAATAAATTTGGTCCTTTTTCTCTAAAGATAGAAGATAGTTTCATATTATTTATTATCTTTGGATAAGTCACATGTTTTTACTAGCGGAAAGGAACAGATGCTAAACTGACTGTTTTTATTAAATAAAATATATGGGATGTTACTCTGTCTCCTTAAATACTGCTATTGCCAACAGTCAGTGGCTCAGCCAAAATCTTCAACCTTTTGTGAAATGCTAAAATGTCAAGTTATAATGTCAAGCCAAGTCAAAAAATGAGTGAGAAAATTTTACATATGTAATCTTGATACTCACTGTAGTATAGCTGAAAGAAATGTCTCTGAAGGGTAATCTCCTTTAGTGGCAACCTCAATGCAAAGAAATTAACAGAACTCTTACATGAAAATATGTTGTAAGTCTACTTGCCATTTGTTCAAAGCTCTATCATCATACTTAAATTACTTCATTATTTCCAAGGATTTGAAAGGACATTGATGGAACATTGTTTCCTCTTGCATAGAGGAAACTTGCAGGTGTTGTGCATACGTACACACGACAGCGCGCTGCATGGCTGCTCACACAAAATTTCCTGTTGGGTAGTCCAGATGCAGCATTTAACTGCAGACTCAATTGAACAGGACCTGTTCAACTGGACTGCACTACATACTACAAAATACCTTTTGAGATCAAAATACCAAGCAAGAATTTTGATCAGTATAGAATTAAAGCCTGTCTTTTCCTGGAGGTTTCCTCTTTGCATTCCATCCTTGCAAATAAAGTGTACAAATGACTACAGGTGCTTATTCTTCTTTTCATACACCAGGTGTGGTTCCATAGCATGGAAAATATAATCTAGACTGCTGGTCAGAATTAACTGATCTGTTCAGGATCCCTCTTACACAAGATGTGTAACAGACATATACAGCCAGAGAGTGAAGGATAAAAGATATTTAGCCACTGCTGAAGAGAGACAATCAGTACTTTATTAAACTAGCAGCCATTTGGAAGAAAGAAAGCCTATTCCCACGCAGAAGGTAACACCACGTCAGATGGGAGTATAAACTGAAATCATTACTCTAGGAAAACAATTCTTACTGGTCAAACATGTTAGTGAAAACCATTAGATGTCATGAAAAAGGTTGGAGCCTTGAACTGCAAGAAATGATGGAAATACTGCCACTTGCTAAGAAATCAGAATAACTATGCAATTAGAGATCAATGCATAAAAACGATAAAAAAAAAAAAAAAAAAAAAGGGCATGTGAAGAGCAAGGCACACAAGAAGTGCTGCCATTCTCTCAAGGTTTGAGATTTAGCGTGCAACATAGAATCACTTTGTATCACAGCCACACCTGAAGTGGATGAGGAAAGTTCTTTAAGATCCTGACTGCATCCAGTGAAGGATGCAGGGCGGTCACATAACTAGGGGATGACGACAGTGAAGTTCACAGGTAGACAGCACAGCATCCCTAGACAACACCCCAGAAAGCACCTACTTTTCTAAGTAAATCTTACCATAGGTAGACATACAGATAGTCTTCCACAGAAAAGAAAGAAAACTGCCTTAAAGGTAAGTGGGAGAACAGAATGAGGAGATTACAGAACTCCTTTCAGTCCTGAACTCCACATCCCTTTTCAGGCTTCAAACAAAAGTTCTGGGGTTCATGGAGAGCTCCACTACAATGCTTGGCTGCGTAGAACATGTATGTCTCTCCAAGGAATTTTCTCACTTATCAGTACGAATGCCAAACACCTATGTTTTGAGATACCAACACCCTTTACTAGGGAGATTTCTGCAGCTTATTTTACATGATGACTTTCACTTGAACAGAATCTGAAAACACTGCTTGATTGTCCTGATGTAGATATTCCCAAGCCCAGTACAAAACTGGATCCATTATTCAATGAATTGTTTCTGAAGCCAAATTCTATGCTTTGTCAAGAAAATGAAATTTAATCTAGCATTAGTAATTTAATCTGTTTTAAGTTCCTTTGCAATGGGAAGAAAAACGATCAGAATAATGTTGTCAAAGCAGTTATCAGTGAATCAAATTCATCTTAGCCTATCCTTGTCAGATTCAGTGAGCTTATCAGAGAGTGATTCAGTCTAAATCCTTTCTTTTTTTTTTTTTTCTTTTTTTTTTTCTTTTTCCTGCCAGGAAACAGCTCACTCTGCTAGTCAATTAAATCTTGAGTTGCACAGCAGTCAACATTTACAGAAGGGAAAGAATGACATAAATTGACCTGTCTTTGACACATTCCTCCTATGCCACGAGAATCAAGATAAACACAGGAAATATCTGCACAATGCACATTGTTAACCTGTAGAAATCTTTATTAACTATTTATGATCAGAATGCATGTTCCTATCTTCAGTGTGCTTGGTAATAATAATGCAAAAATATTGGTGATGGGGAGATTCCAGAGACATCAGATGATCTTCTTCCATTTGCTTTCCCTCATTTAACATACTTTAAAATATAATATATTCCACATAGTCTGTCACAGCAATTTCTTTCTGCAATTGCCAACAAGAGAGAAAAACCATAGCTATGAAAATAAAAATGTTCAAACCTTGTTCAGTCTTTATTTTGAAAAATGAATGCATTACTCAAGTTTCATGAAATAAAAGATTTAATAAAATATCTTTCCCCAGAGACTTTTGAAAGCAGACATGATAAAGCGCAGGACAAATGACAATAGAAAAAAAAAATCAGCAAGGGAATGCACTGGACAATCTAATAGGTCTCTTTTAAATCTCTCATTTAAAAATGAAGCTCCTGCAGACTGCTCCCAGTTCATTTGAAGCCTGCAGATATATCTGGCAGCTGGCAGCTTTACTAGGGTTTTGCTTTTAGATTTCTCATGTGTACTCACTATATAATGAAAAGAAGCCTATTACAAATCAAATGTTTAAGTTGTTCCATCACTTTGCAAGTAAGACCTTGCAGACTGCTTTCTTACATAGATGACTACTTTCCTTTTCCGCACTTCCCTTCTGATTCTGTAATTCTTCCCTTCCAGACAGGTGTCTTTTCTGATCTCTACCTTGACTTCCTCTGTTGTTCCCATGACCCAAACTCCCTTATCCCATTTTCTTCAATCCCTTTAACACGTGAAGACCTTTAGTGCTCTCATCAACAATCCACTCTTTGCTCCCCCACCACCATTCCCTCTCTCTTTCCCCAGGCTCACACAGCAGTGCCTGCCATCATTTCAACTACTCCCCTCTTTTTTGCACTGCTTCTTCCATTTATCTTCCTCTGGTTTATTCTATTGGAGCTGCCCTTTGTAAAGGGGCTTTAATGACTCATGTCTAGCCAGAATTCAAATCCCATATTTTGCTCTCATCCTTTACAATTTCAGTTACCTTAATCACAATTAATCATGTTGCTCTCTTTTTCTCTCATGAATTCCATGAATCTTTTTACTCTTTGTTCTCTTCCTATTTTTGAAGCTATTTCCACTGTGTTTATCACAGGAATCTTTCTCCCTGCTCTCAGCTTCCTCTGAGCTTTCTAAGGGTTGTTTTTTTATCCTAAAAATCAGTACCAGCCACTGCAACAACCACTTTAATATAAGATGTGGCATAGTTTTTTCCTTCGAATTCATACAGAACAACATATTTCTTACAAAACAACAGTACAATTAGAAATTATGCATTTAAGTCAGAAAAGGAAACAGAATGTCCAAGTACAAGCACCTGGTTAGTAACGGAAAAGAACACAAATATTCGTTTATATGGCAAGGATTGAGAGCTGTTGTTTTACTCGCTATTGTTCAAAAAAAGAAGGAAACGATGCCACAGTGGAAAATGATCATCTGGCATAAACTTGCTTTCCTAAATTTCCTTCCTCAATATCAGGACTTCTGCATATAACCACAAAAACCACTCTGCTAATTTTTATGATGTTTCTAGATATTAGAAAATAATTGCTTAAACTTGGCATTTGACTTTTTTGAAGTTTTCTATAAAGCGACGCGCAGAAGCATACAAAAATCTATTCTGAGGACAATCAATATATATACCACAGAACCTCTGCAAAATATCTCAGATTGAAAAAGGACAAAGTAATCTCAGATTTGTGCTAAGTTTAAAGCTAAAGTATTTCTAAGAATACTTCTGTATAAAGCACTGCTCTACTGCCTTCAAATATATGTAATACTTATTTAGGACTGTATTTTAAGGCAGCTTCAAAACATGCTTTTTTTGTTAGACAATATCTACTCCTCCAAACAAAATCTGAATCAATATAAATTTCATTAAAGTGTGATGAATAATATACATGTTCAATTTGTTCTTGGCCAGATAACATAAAATTGATGGCAGGAATAATGTATAGAGATGTCAAGCCACAATGACACGTCCACTGACCACTTTCTTATTTCACATGTATTAATCACAAATTATAAATGCCCACAAATGTACCTATAAAACCAATCATCTCACAGACAGACACAAATCTTTTAAAGACAAAGCAAAAAATGGAAATAACTCACTGTTATTAAAAGTACAGATCTGGATATGAAATACAAGTTTGAAGTGTCCAGTCAAGCATGGTAAGTGAATTTTTGGTAAGTGAATTAAGGAATTTTAGGCTGTGCTAAGCACATCTGGCAAACACTACATATGTAATTTTTACAATTTGTTCCATGATGTCTGTTATCACATATACACATACCTATAACAGGAAGTCAGTGTCAGTAGTTGGAGTGCAGGTATGCCAAGATCTCAGATAATTAACCCACTAGTATCTCAAAATCATCCTCACTTAGCTTTCATTTTAATTTAGAATTAAATAAAGAAGAGGTAAGTATTAGCATGAAAACTGTTGATGACAGGCAAAAAGTGGGGAAGAAATTAAAAAAATACTTCTACAGCTGGAGAAAATAGAAGAAATGATGCAAACCCAACAACCCTGAGTTCCTAATCTATTGCTGGGGGTCAGGGAGTTAGGCTGATACGGTGAGCTTTCTTTTGCACTGGTTCTAATGTATTCTTAAATATCCCCCATGTACAAAGTGGACTGCCTCTATAGGTACATTCACACACAGGCAGAAGAAATACATAAACATACATAGAAGACAAATATTTTTAAAAGTACATTTTTCAAAAGCTCATCAATGCTAAATACCCTGCTTTCCACTTAAATGGAATTAATTTATACAGAACTTTTAAAATCTAAAATAGAAATTATACCTATCTTAGGATGTCAGACCAAAAAAAAATAACCGAGTAATAAAATGAACTGTATTAAGTAAACATCAAGTTTTTTATGTCTCTGAAATGAGTGATGCACAGTAATCTAAAAGAAAGTGCGTTTCTTGGAAATACAACACAGCTTTGGCTAGATGCAACTGAATATTTAAGGAGAATTGGGTGTGAATAGACATTGGCATAATGATGAAGTGTGTGTGGTATACAATCTATTCTGGATTACCAGACAAAAAACCACTCCCAGCAAACTAGCTCCAAAACAACTCACAATATATTATTTCATAGTATTGTCATCGGTTTTCATGTAAACAAGCACAACATAAAGAAACACAACCTGTGAAATAAAAGGCCGTAACTCCTTGACAGTGATCTGAACTGCAAACTAAGAACTAACCTCAAAGCACTTTTCCTTCTTTGCTTCATGCAGAAGTTCAGTCATTCCGGGTAAGAGTACTGGAAATATGTAGTACTCTAAATATGCTTGAGGAGAACCTGCACAAAACAGTACAGCTTTCACTTGTAGATAAGCACTTACATTTCACAAAGAGTAGATAACATAAATGAAGTAGAAGTCGTTTAATCAATATGACTGCAGCTTGAACCACACACAGATTCTCTAAGCTTTGATACAGCCATAGGTCTGTCTTCCATTTCTTCATACAAGATTACATAAACATAAATTTCAAACCAAAGGTGCATCAACACTGCACACTGCAGTGTGCCTCAAAGATGTCAGACTAGAGTAAAACTCAAACACCAGAAGCACTTTAGCATGAGGAAATGAGGAGCAACGTGGACTGATTTACCCTGACAGGAAGAACAGCAAATATGACTGCACTGCACTCAGGGCTTTTACAGCCAGACCTCTTTTGATATCTGCACTCATGCTCTTAACAATCTGTTGTAATAGTGTTGGTTATAAAATTGACTTTCTAGGCAGAGGGGAAAAAAGGTTGTATTTCAGTGATTTCTCTCCTAACTACTTCCTACTCACCAGATCCTTCTGAATCTGAACATTAAACCATACACCTTGAAAGGGCTGTCTGGATTGGCATCTCTCTTGTTTATGTTTCCACTGACAGTACATTGAGCTCTACTTGCCCTATTTCCTGTGTGCTCATGCTCTGAATTCTATGCAAAAGAAGGCAGCTACGGTCATTGTTACAAAAACTAAAAACAAAAAACAAATCAACAAACACCACCACAAAAAACAACCCATTGTCTTTGTTCTACATAAGCTGAATGGCTGTACATTTCCCAAGATGTTCACGCTATCTTCGTCTCAGCTACATCCTCATCTCCTCCAACAGGATCTTTCACCACCAACTTATAAACTGGTTAAGGTGAAGGAGCCTTCTGCCTCCTTTAATGAGGACACCATACCATACATGCAGGAACTCACGCTCACTGGGCTCCTTGTGGGAACAAGGAGCATGACCCCATATGTAGCTGCAAGAGCCCTACTCTTGGAATGGTAAACAAACCAGAAGCTGTCAAAATCTCTGAGAAGCAGGGATGACTTACTGACTGAAGTGCTGCCCTCAATTTAAAGCCAGACTACCTGCCATGCAGTATGTATTCTAGTTTTAGTGTGTTTGATAAGGATGAAGTCACAGATACTTCCTCTTCTAGCAACACACAGCTGAAACACTAAAAACATACCATTATTTGTAAATTGGTAGAAATGTTATAGAAACTGATAAAAACAAAATAACAAAACTCGAGAGTAATTTCCACTCTGATTTGTAATCACTTGAGTAAAACAATATTTTGAAAGCAGTTTTAATCATCTGCCTAGTCTGCAGATCCTAATTTTGCATTATTAATTTAGAAGCAGAAATACTTTTCCCTCTCTGATCTAACTGGTCAAATAATTCAGAAGATAGTAGAATACTATAATGGCTAGACACTACTAACAATTCCTAATGCATATATATTCAAGCTCCCTTCACCTGACGAAGAGGCCAAGCTGGCTCCTGCACACAGACCAAAGTAAGTTCCACTTCAGAAAAGGTGATGTAACTGTTAGCACTTCAGCTGTTAGGTGCTTTTTTTTTCAATGCTTTTGAACTGTTAGCACTTTGACTAACCTCTTCCCCTTCTGTGACCAGGTGACCTGCCTGGTTGATGAGGGAAAAGCCGTCGTTGTTGTCTACTTGGACTTCAGCAAAGCCATCTCCCACAGTACTCTCCTGCAGAAGGTACAGCCCGTGGTCTGGCAGGTATGATCTCTGCTGGGTAAAAAAACTAGCAGGAGGACTCGGCCCAGAGTGCTGGTGGATGGAGTTACATCCAGCTGGCAATGGGTCACGAGCAGTGCTCCCAGGGGTTGGTATTCAGGCCTCTCCTGTTTAATATCATTATTGATGATCTGGATGACGGCATTGAGTGTGTCCTCATTAAGTTTGCAGATGACACCAGTCTGGGGGAAGTGTTGATCTGCCTGAGAGTAGGAAGGCCTTACAGAGGGATCTAGACAGGCTGCATCAATGGGCTAAGGCCAAGCGTATGAAAACCAAGAAGACCAAGCACAGTGTTCTGAAAAACAGTCACAACAACCCTATGGAATATGTGGGGCACAGTGGCTGGAAATCTGTGCAGCAGAAAAGGATCTGAGGATGCTGGTCAACAGCCAGCTGAACATGAGACAGCAGTGTGCCCACGTGACTGACGTTAGCAGCATCCTGACTTGTATCAGACACCGTGTTGCCAGCAGGACTGGGATCATCCCTCCTACTCAGCAGTGGTAATGCAGCACCTCAAGTGCTGTGTTCAGTTCTGAACCCCTCACTACAAGAAAGACAACAAGGCTCTGGAGTATGTCCAAAGAAGGGCAGTGGAGCTGTGAGGGGTCTGGAGCACACTGGGATTGTTCAGCTGGGAGCAGAGAAATTTCAGGGCTGACCTTATTGCTCTCTACAACTCCCTGAAAGGAGGTTGTGGTGAGGTGCAAGTTCCCCCCAGTACCAGTGATAAGACAAGAGGGAATGGCCTCAAGTTTCACTGGAGGAGGTTCAGGTTCAATATTAGGAAACATTTCTTCTCTAAAAGACTGGCCAGGCACTGGCACAGGCTGCCTGGGGAGGTGGTGGAGTACCATCCCTGGAGGGGTTCAAGAACTGTGGAGATGTGGTACTCAGAGACACAGTTTAGTGGGCAATATTGGTGGTAGCTGGATGGTGGGATTTGATGGTCTTAGACGTCTTTTCCAATTTTAATGATATTGTGATTCTGTAATGAACTGCAGCCAGTGACAAACTCCTGCCAAACTAGAGAAAAATATTCACAGGAGGATACAAGGTAATATAGCCCTACTTACACGTTTTTGGATCAGGTGCTTCTGGAAGGGGGGCTGCCTCAGGTGTGGGAAGCAACTGTTGGACAACTGCATCAGCTGCAGGGGATGAGTAAAACTGTTCTGTACAGAATGGCTGCAACATTCCTGCTTCCCAACTCATCTGTTTAAGATAAACGGAACCCACATAAATATCCCAATCAAACTGAAAGAAATGTAGAAACCAATTCAGCAGGTACACTGCTGTAAGGTCAGTCAGTTAAAAAAAAAAAACAAAAAAAACAAAGAAATTCTAATTTTCTAAAACAAATATTAAATTAGTTCCATATTTTCTGCACACTTCAAAAACAAACAATTTCACTTTAAATTTTTTACAGTTTCCACTGAATGAAAACATTCAAAGCTTGGAGAAGGCATGTGATTGTTTTTAAAAGAAGGTGGCAAGATATCATAATTTAAAAAATATTTTAGTCATTCTAAAAAAATAATAATTTTTTGAAAATTAAAATTGGGAATGTTTTCTGACTAAGTATTCTTCCACTCAGAAGCTTATATATTCTGTCTTGCTCAGAAGTTCTAAAGGAAACAAAGCACAAGTAAATAAGTTCAAAACAAGTGTAAATGGCAATCTTAAGTTTCTTCATACAGGAACAATTACAGTTACCACAAAAAAAAAAAAGCAGTCCACAATTTTACTTATGTATTTAGAAGTACAAGAATTGTTACAGTGAGCCAGGAGAGTACCTTTAGCAGATTGTGAACTACATCTCTTACAGAAATCCAAATACCTCCCATTACATATGCAAGAATGCACTTCACCATATTTGGTATGAAAACATGCTGTGAAAAAGATGTCATCTCAACAGTTTCCCTTTGAAATTCAGCTGGATTTACGAGTTGCTGAAGAGCAAGCAGTGGAGCCAGGCCACCACGCATACAATATACAATATTGCAAGTCAGTGACGCAATATCATATGCAATGACTGCAGTGATGTTTGCAAGATACATAAAATGATACTTCAGGAAATTATAAAAAGTACACATCAACATAAAAAGGTACACTATTACATTCTGGCATTAAATGCTCAGATATGTCAATATATAATGCCTAAACTCATGAATGTCCTAAGCAGAGTACACAATTCAATTTCAACAATGTCCTGTAATGAAGCTAGTTTTACTTAAGGAAACATGATATACTATGTAAAGGCCTAAACTTACTATATGTCAAACAATTTGAACCAGAAGGCCTTGAAGAAAGTAACCTAAATACAGCGTAATAAGAAGACGCCTATTTTAAATGAAAGTTAACTCTGTAATTATTAAAATAATTAGTTTTGCTGCTTGTAGAACTGCTGGGGAAAAAGAGTTAAAAGGGTTTGTTCTTGTGTACTGCTTCTGTCTGCCAAACTAGTTTTCCTAGACTGAATTTACCTGGTCAAAAGTAGACTCTGGGCAGCTGTGATTGGGTTTAATTCCTCTGACTTCGATGGTCACATCTATGTGACCTACCACAAACGTGAAACTGAGGCATAACTCCTTGGCAGTGCTTGCTCCCTCTGTTTTACACATCAATGCTGGGTCTGCTTGCACCAGCAGCAGCAGGAGATCCCTGCACACTTCTGCCTCCCCCCTGCAAAGCTGACAGCTGAAGACAAAAGGCAGCAGGCTGTGCACACAAAACACAGCTGCCATCTAATTTTAGGACAGCACTCCCCAAGTTGCTTTCGACAAAAGCCATGATTTGGAATATTGCATTTCTTGATTCACAGAAGTTGGTTACAAAATGTAGTTCTGTTTACACTTTATGAATGACCCTACTCTGCGGATACCTAATTTTCCTATTCTGTTATTTAAAACACGATACCTTATGAAGATTTGGTACTTGAACTATACTTACAGATTTCTGCGCTGATTCAGGGATGTCTGGAAATGGATGCTGTTCTGCTTCGTACTCTTAGAGTAAAAAAAAAGTACAACAATTACATGAAAGATTTTAAAACCACTTTTATTCTAACCAAGCATTACCTTCTGAAAGGCTGTACTCCAGTTTGAAAAAATAAAGTCAGTATAGAACGACTATTAGTTTAATACAGAACCTGATGTGCTAAGAAAAGGCAACATTTTGAAGTCTCTTGTTCTGATTTTAAGTCAAGTACAAGGTTTTCAGCTATAAAACAACTCCTCGTTGGAAAAAATATTTTTGACCAAAAAATAATAATCTAAAATATTATAATGCAGATGCTCACACGTTATCAACCATTGGTTTCACCAGTATACAGCATGGCTTTTCAACTTCCCCTGTGTTTCCCTGGGGGCATTCAAGCCCCCAGGACAATGCTAAGACCTATCTTCTCCACTTCCAAAAACACCAGTGCAGGAGCAGTACACAACCCACTGAAATTAGAGCAAATCAAGGGAAGAAAAATAACCAAGAACGGCAATGAATCTGATAGGGACACCAAACCCTCCTGGGTCAGGCAACACAAAGGGCCCTGAGAGACAGAGCACTCAAGGTCAGTGATCCTAAGTTATGGGACCCAGAATCAAAGAATCATAGCATGGCCTGAGTTGAAAAAGAGCACAGTGCTCATCCAGTTCCAACCCCCTGCTGTGTGCAGGTCACCAACCAGCAGACCAGGCTGCACAGAGCCACATCCAGCCTGGCCTCGAATGCCTGCAGGGATGGGGCATCCACAGCCTCCTTGGGCAACCTGTGCCAGTGCCTCACCACCCTCTGGGGGAAAAACTTCCTCCTCACATCCAACCTAAACCTCCCCTGTCTCAGTTTAAAACCACGATGTACCACATCACTCCTCTGCTACGGGCTGCACTGCATCACTGCTCTGTTATGGGCTGTGCCACACCGCTCATCTGCTACGGATGCACCGCATCGCCCCATGCGTGCGCTGCAGTGCCTCAGCCGTCACACTGCACCAAACAACTTCTTTCCACATTAGAAATTGCCCTTTGCATGTGAATATATATATGAATATATAATACCTGACGGCATTACAGAGCAGTACATCAAAAGCACCGCGGTGTGGGACACAGCTCCCCGAGCGGCCGCGGTCACCGCACAGCAGGAGAACGAGCGCGGTCGCCGCCATCCCTCAGAGCCCAGCGCCGCACCGAGCTCACAAGGCCCCGCCCACCGCCATGACGGACGCAGCCCCGGGGCGCCCGCGGCGCCTCACCTCCCCACAGCCCAGCCGCGGCCGCCGCCCCGCGCTTCCGCCCCGCGGCAGCACGGCAGAATCACACCGACGGCCGAAAGCGACGTTCGTAGCCCCGCCCTGCGGCACGGGGCCGTGGGAAGGCCGCTCAGCCCCGCGGCGCCAGGGCGCCGGGCGGGCCCACCTGCGCACGGCTGTTCCCACAGGCCCGGCCGCGACCCGCCCGCCGCCATATCGCGCTGCGTCGCCACGGCAACCGGGGATCGGGGCGGGGCGGGGCGGTGGTCGCGGAGCCATTCTGCTTCCGGGGCGGTGCGCTGTGCTGCACGTGGGCCGCGGCAGGTAAGGGGCGGCCGCGGTTGTGTGTGGGTATGTGGGCACGGCTGTGTTCGTGCCGTCCATGAGGGAAACGGAGAGTTGGGGCTGAATCCCGCTCCTGCTCGTCCCACCCGGCGCGGGGCCTCATCTGTACCTTCGGGAGGAGGCGAGGTTTCCGGTGGTCCCGCGGAGGCTCGGGGCGGGGGGCAGCGCCTTTCGTTCTGCGGGGCCTTGCTGGAGGGCCTTCTGTGCATTCGCTGTCGGTTAAAAGACGAGAACCGAAGCGGATGCGAGGGTTTCCTTAGCGAAAGGGTGCCCCGCGGCCGCTGCTGTCTCCTCCTCATAGGCAGCGGACCCAGAGGGGCAGCGGGCCGTTCCGCACCGGGACTGATGAGCCTTGTAAGGATCCTGGGGTGTTACGTGGAAGATGAAGGGATACAAAGCCGGGGTGCCTAAGTGTGGCCTCTTACTTATGTGGAAATCTGCCTAAACTGTACTGTATGTACATTACATCCAGAGTCCAGAGGAAGGCTGCTGAGATGATCAGAGGGCTGGAGCACCTCTCCTGAAGAATGGTTGAGGGGCTTGTTTAGCTTGGAGAAGGGAAGGCTCCAGGGAGACCTCATTGTGGCCTTCCAGTACTTGAAGGAAGCGTATAAACGGGAGGAGTTACATGGCGGGATGGTGATGGGACAAGGGGAAGTGGTTTTAAACAGACAGGGGAGGTTTAGGTTGGATATGAGGAGGAAGTTTTTCCCCCAGAGGGTGGTGAGGCACTGGCACAGGTTGCCCGAGGAGGCTGTGGATGCCCCATCCCTGCAGGCATTCAAGGCCAGGCTGGATGTGGCTCTGGGCAGCCTGGTCTGCTGGTTGGCTACCTGCACGCAGCAGGGGGTTGGAACTGGATGAGCACTGTGCTCCTTTGCAATCCAGGCCATTCTGTGATTCTGTACATGTCTTGCTAGGAAGGAGTTTTGGAGGATAGGTGTTTTTGTGACAGTAAGAGCTCTGAAGCTGCTAGAAAGGAAGAATAAGGCAACTTATTCACTGCTCCAGTGACTGCACTTCAGTGCAGTGTATGCTTCTAGTTCTTCCATCTCTGAAAATCCATGGTCTCTGGTGCTGTTTTCCCCAGTTTTGCAGTCAGAGATGTGAACAGGTTTCAGAGGAAGGGAACACCAGATAGGCCAGAATTTGCAATACTGTCTTGAAGCTGCACAGTAAAAAATTTTTTATTATTATTATTATTTTTTTTTTTTTAGGATGACAGTCAATAAAAAGCGGAAACATGTTCATGAGGAAACTGTACAGAAAAAGAAAAAAGTGAGAAGCAGTGGTAGCCAGACTGTCATTAAAACTGAGAAAAGAATTCAGGCTGCCGCTGAAGCGGAGGATGATGACTGGTTTGAGACAAAAATAAAGGTAAAGAAGAAGGAAAGTGTGAAAGAAGATGAATGTTCAGACCAATTGAATCTGAAGAAGAAGAAAAACAAAAAGAGGAAGGTTCGCTTTGAATTACCGAAAGAAATATGTTCAGAAGACTTTTTGTATGTAGAAGGCCATCAGGATTTAGAACAAGAAGCATCAGAGGTAAAATGTTCTAAAGTGTTCAAAAAGAAGAGAAAAAAAGACCGATGTCGTGCCTCTTTATCAGTGAAAAGTAAACAAAATAGTGATGTGGAGCTTTCAAATCATTATTCAGCTCATATGCAGGAAAATAAATTTGCTTTAGCAAAAAGCAGGAGAAGTAACACTTTGAATTTGAAACTGGATAGTGAACAAAATAAGAAAAAAAAGAAGGAAGACACCTTTTCTTTAGCATTAGGAGATATCCAGGACAGTGAATATAAACAGTCTCAAAAAGATTGCAAAGAAACAAATGTGCACGCTTCAGAAAGATCTATTACTGGTGAAAGTCATGGAACAGATACTATCCATAACAATGGGAAGGGTATGAGAAGAAAGAAGAGGAAGAAAAAGAAATCTGGCTCCTTTTTGCCACTAGCAGGTAATCAAAACATTTCTGCAGTTTGTTATAGTTCCATTGCATTAAGCAGCTTTGGAGAAAGGCACAGAAAAGAGAAGAGAAAAGAAATTAGATTGACAGATAAAGAGGAAAAGGATGCTACTGAGAACCCAGAAAGTATCAGAGAGATGAAGAAGAAGAAAAAAAAAGATGTTTCCTCCTTAAAGTGTAAAGATAATCAGTGCTACAGTCAGAGAGTTCTTGATGAGCATCTTCCTACATTGCAAGAAGTTGAGCCTGAGGAGGAAGAGCTGTCTGGGAGAAAAACCTTGAAGAAAAACAAGAATAATAATGAAGCAACCAATAAGAAAAAGAAAACGAAGATAAAAAAAGATAAGGAAACAACTTTTTCAAAAGTTTCTTTAAGCAATGACTGTGCACCTAAAAGCCAAAAAATAACACCCCTAGAAAGCAACAAAAAGAACAAAGAGAGGAAAGTGAAGCCAGCTGAATGTGTCACAGGGGACACTGCAGGTGATAGGGTGTTATGCAATTCTAGTCATATGCTGTCTGACAAGAAGAGGAAAAAAGTACCAGAGGACTCTGCAGAAGAGTCAAGATCAAATGCAAGTATCAAAAAGAAAAGGACCAAAACAGAAGATGGGGGAGATAAGATCTTGGTGAGTTGTTAATAAGGTGCCCTCCTGCTTTAGAGCTGAAGGCCTCTTAGGCCATCCATACCCTGTTTTATAGCCTCCTCTGCCTGTTCAGACCATTGGGTTGTGCTTACTTAAGTCAGTAAGGGGACTCCTCAGGGTTTTAAGAAACAGACACAGGCTCAGAGCATCCATTGATTTTTAGCATGTCATGTTTGTGAAATGCAGGAAAGTATGTTTTTTTAATGCCTGATGCCGTAGTCATTTAGTGTTTCAACTGTGAAAATATAAAATGCCTAAAGTACCTGACAGCAAGTATGAGAGCAGAAAGAATGCTAGTGTGCACAGTTACCTATGTTCTTCTTTTTCACTTGCTTCTGTCATAACTATGATACAAAACAGCATTTTAATGTTATGTCATTTAATCAGTTCAGGTAGGTAACATTCTGACTCTTACAATTTATTTTTTCCCCAAGGAAAACTGCTTGTAGTGAACTGTGTAGTGCTAGAAAACGGGAGATTTTTTAGCCAATCAATGCATAAATTGTGATAGAAAATCAGGGAACAACCCAGTCAAAAACTGGAAGTCAAATTCCTAATGTGAGGTGGGTGGAAAGGTATGTAAAACGAAAAACAAATAGATTCAAGGGCTGTGCAACTTTTAACTCGAGGTAAATGGAACTGCTAAAGGAAATCTCATTCAAGAGTCAGAGTACTGCTATTTCTGTGGTAAGGCAAGCGTGGAGAACCTGATGGAATAGCAGGGGAAACAGATCTGCTTGGTGTATGTAAAAGAGAAAATATTTGAAATATGGGGATTTCTTCAAAGCTTTTGAAGAATAAGACTATTGCAGTGTTTTTTCCTTTTGACCTTTCAAAGGGTAAAGTCTCTTTGGGACTGTTGGACGTTATTTGGAGTACTGCAGCTGCTCATGTGTAAATGGAGGCGAGATGAGCCTTATGATGATAAGTAAACTTGTATACCAGAGGTAACCGAACATGGAGAACACAGCAAGGCCTCTGTGATCTACTAAGGAGAACGGGGGTAGGGTGAGGCACATTTTGGTTCTCTTCCCTGTATCCAGCTCTGTACAGCAGTAAAAAGGCGTTTCAGAGAAGCTCTCAAGAATTAGAACTCTGGGTAATTGGGACATCTAGTTACTGCTAGGCTCAAAGACTGCTGGAATAAATGGCCTATCGTGTCGGCCTTGCATTTAATTGTGTCTCAGTCTTTAACCATTTTCTGGGCTGTACTGCATCACGTGCTGCATCATGCCTTGAAGCATCCTCTGTTAGATTTCTGCAGCAAAGAGAGTAGTGATTGTTGTGGAATCATACCTGCTTAATATCAAAGATTTCTGTTTTCCCATTGGATGCTGTTACAGCCAACTAAAGCAAGGGGAAGGCTGAGATGATCCAGAGGGAGAAAGAGGATGGTTATTAGTGAATGTGTCTGTTGATACGAAACATGCACAACTAACTCCAGCATTGCTGTATGCTGACATAGAGGCATTTCTGGGGAAAGTCAGCGTGAGTTGATTATGCTCCCAGTGAAATCGTGTGCTGCTGGCATTTCTCAGGCCACTGTATGCTGACCCTCTGTCTTTGTGATGCAGGCTGTTTTCAGTTCCTTTGTTAAAATACAAAAATAGAGCAGGCAGTTCCTGAAAGTATTTTGCCAATAAATATTCCTTGTTGTTGTTCCCTCCTTTGGAAGATGTCCATCAGAGTACCAGCAGCTTGCACAAGCACTTTGGGCTGCAAGTCTACGTATGTGGGGGAGGGGAACGTGCCAGTGATGAGCATCCCCAGCTCAGCCCTCTGCCACGTGGATGAATGCCTGCACTGGTGTTTCTGGGAGCAGGCTGGGATCTTATGTTCGGTTTTTCTCTTGACATTAGGAGGAGATAGCTCTGAAAGTGAACAAATTCTCTGCATAGTGGTAGGCGTTGTGCTTAGGTGGTCGTTCTTGCTTGCAGGGACATCACCACCATGCATATGGGATTTTCTTCCTTGTGAGAAAGCACTCAGCTGCAGAGCGAAAGTGCTACACAGTGCCTTGTGTGTCGTAACATGAAGGAGTCCAGGGAGAGTCAGATGACAGAGCAGATGCACATCCAGTGTCAGAGGACTTGGTGTACCTCTTTGAAGCCATCTCTGTGTGTGGATGTGCTCCCCTTCCTGCAGTGTGGGGGAGATGAGCACACCCTTGGATGGGTTTGTTATTGCCTTTCAGTGACCTTCAGCAGCTCCAAAACATGCTGCAGATTGGCCCATGTGAAGGTGCACTGCTTTTCCTTGCCTGTCTGCCTCTGACCAGGTAAAAGAGAACCCAGCACAGCTGTTTGCAAAGTCCTGTCACAGCAGCTTTCCTGCTTGTTTTGAGAGATCTGAGTAGACAGTGCCAGGCCATCAAGAAGTAAGGTTTTTTTGTTTTTGTTTTTTTTCTTTTTTCATGAGCTCCTCTTACTGCAGACAGCGTTCTCATTTTTGATAGTCAGTGTAGTTGTGTGTGAAAGCAGCGCACAAAAGCTAGCTTAGGAAAATTAGGTAAATCATTCATGGCTTTAGATAATACTGTAAACCTTCAAAAAAGGTTTTCAAAAAAGAAACAGCAGCTTCTGCTCGCAGAAGTATGTTACAGATCTTTTGCTTGTCTTAATGTTCTGTGGCTATTTCATGCTTGGATTACTGTGTTAGCTGTATCAATAGATCTTCCCTCTGGCCATATTTTGCAGGTTGGTCTAAAGCTCATGGCTTGGATTTACCACTATCCTGGACTTAAAACTTAACCCTATTACAGTGGGTGCCCCAAAAATCTTAGCGCAAATTTGGGAAAGAAAGAGTGGGAGCAGGCAGTGCTGAAGGGCTGCACTTTGAGGAAGAATTAACAGTCAGGGGCTGCTTGTGGCTCCTGCCAGCCTGCCTGTCCCTTCCTGCTCTGTCACTGTGAGTTCTCTGTTCCTCACTCCCAAATGTGGGACTAACGTGCCGATGCTGCCATTGCAGGGGCAGCTTATGTACGTGTCACGCCTCTCCTCTTTCCAGGCTGGAAGCTTTTTGGGGACTGTCATTGCTTCTGCATTAGTACAAGAGCAGGCAGAAAGCAGATGCCTCTTGAGTGTTTTTTGTTTGGCTGGTTTTTGTTTTGGTGCTGGTAGTGGGGTCAGCATGCTTCAGGCCTGCCCCGTGCGTTCACATTGGCCATTATGTTACCACTGGTTTAACTTTTTATTTTTAACTGTACTATTTTTATTTCAATTACAAATTTCAACTTCTGCAATAGCTTTTGATTTGAAGTGCTCCTGCCTGCAAATATTACTGTATGTATGTGCCTCTGATACTGGCAGGTCCATTTTAATGTGTGAATCAAAAAGTCCCTTATCTTTATTGCTAAATATATATATAATATATATATTAAAAATGTCACTTTAAATGTATGTTTTGTAAGTTTTTTTTGGAATGGATGGAGAAAATCCCTCCAAAGAAAGGTACAGGTTTAGCTGGAATTTCCAGCTTTAATCTGACTGTTTCTTCTGATCCCCAGTAATACTGCTCATTGCTTAGTGATTTCTCTGCTTACTCATGTGTAAATTAATTAAGAAGAATGGCTTATAATATTCATACGAGTTTTTCCCTGTTTTACAGGAAGATGTGGATGATGTGACTGTTGTGCAGGAAAAAAAAGGAAACTGTGATGAAATTAATATAGACAAGGTATGCTTTCTCAGTTAAACAGAATTTGAAGCAAGAAAGCTTTTAGGGTGTAGTAGGATTTGTAATGAAAAGAATGCCTTCTGCTGGTCTGTGCCAGTATTTTCTAAAGTAGACCTTTGCTTAAGATTTGCTTTTGTACTCATGGGTTAGGTAAAAAATATATAGCTCCACTTAATGTCAGAACCTTCTAAGTAGCTTATTCAGTTAAATACAGGCTCCTTTGCCTCTCATTGCTGCTGGCAGTTTCAGCACAGCTGTTACCTGCAGTTAGAAGGTTAAACATATCTGGCACTACAGAATGTTCATTGAAAATAGCACAAGAAAATGCAGAGCTCTTAAGTGGAGTGTGTAAGAAGATCACGTGCAACTTTCTTAATTATCCTTGCAAAATACTGAGGACAAATAATCGTCTTAATCTTCCCTCATCTGCTTACTGTGAATTAAATTAAGTGTTGTTTAACACAGAGGACAGTGGCTTGTGTTGCTTTTCTCTGTATGCTAGGCGAGGCGGCAGGCTCTGCAAGAAGAGATTGATAGAGAATCTGGAAAAACTAACATTTTCAGTCCCAAAGAGAACATGGTACGTATGAATTCAGACTTTGATCTGATGGAAATACTATGTCCCAGAACCACTTCCTGGGGAAAAAAAAAAAGCACTGAAAACAGCATTTTTTTCTGTTTGTGGTTCATGAATGTGGCTTGGCACAAGCGCTCTCCTGATTGTAAATTTAAAGTCATGCTTTGGAACGAATTGCAATACCAAGAGAATCTGGGAGCTGACCAGTGAATTCTTAACATCATTTGGAATTGCTTAGAGGTCTGACTCCCATCATGAGTGCTGAAAAGCACTATTTTCTCTAGTTCTTCTGGAGATTTTGATACAAAGAATTGCTACAAAGCCATTTGCTACTTACTGTGAAATTTAAGTGATCCTAGGCCATGGTCATAAGGTACCATTGAATTTTATCTGAATTGCTATATGGAAGAATTTGCAGACATTCATACATGGAGATGCACATGAAAATGTGAGAGGGATGGTAACTGACAGTACAGTCCTGCAGTACCTACAGCCAATAGCCTCCTAATTTCTACATCATTTTTCCACCTCTTTGAAAGACTGTTCTTTATTTTTTGTTTTTCCATCCTACTTAGCCTGCCTGCTGGCAGATTTACCTCTCAGATTACTATTGCAGCAGTGTTCAGCAGGAATAATAAGATTCAGAAGGAGAGAAAGCTTTGCTAAAAATGTGGAATTCTTTAGTTGTTTGCAGAAGTGTTGCTCAGGATTACAAAGGCCATAAATGCCTTTCTGGGACCTCAACAAATCCCAGAAACAAGTCATGTAAGTTTTATGGAGTAGGAGCAAGACTGCATTGCGTTCTGAACTGCAGCTATCTGATAGTCTGTGAGGGGAAAATGACTTCTTTGGCAGGGGATCCCAGCTCTGTGGAGTTCGTCTGTCATTGTTTATTAATACATAAAAGAATAAAAGCTGTGAAAACTAATTGAGGGGCTTCGAAAGGAGAGAGCTAGAAATACTGCAGCAGAAGCTATGTCCAGTGCTTGCCAGCAGTTCACTTAAAAAAAAAAAAAAAAAAAAAAAAAAAAAAAAAGGTTTGACAAGCCATGATTATTTCTGCATCTGTGCAGATATCCATCTCCTGTTCCAAAGGGAAGACTTTATGTATGTCTGCATTTGTGTCACGGAGCAGGGCTTATACAGCAGCTTAGCCTTGTTTTTATGGATAACTTTCTTTTAGTATCAGTATTCTGGCCTGTGATACTGGCAGATACTCCAGCTCTGTGTTTTTATAACTTAGAACACCTGCTACAGCTTGCCTTCATATTGCATAGCATGCTGTGTGTCATGTTGGCTGTCTGGTGAAGAACCGACTGTTTCATGTAAGCTACAACTGTTTGGTTGGAAGGGTTTCAGGCTCACATAAACATACTGCTAAATGCGCATTTTTTTCCTGGGATGAAGCCAGATCAGTTTAATCACGTTTAATTAATGATCAAACATTCTTCCATTTAATATCACCCTAATTATAAAGAAAAAAATGGGAGTAGTCAGAAATGAGCAACAGTAGGAGCTATGTGGTCAGGAGTCAAAAAGATCCTGATGTAACGAAGTATGTTCAGAGCTAAGCCAGAAGTTCATAAACTTCTTAAATCGCACCCTCTGTCTTGGGTTATTTGCAAACACAAATGGTTGAATTTTGATTCTACTTGGATGTTATCTACAGTCTCAGAAAGGAAACAATATCAAAAACAAAACTGAAGGAGTAATTTGTTCAGAGAATACAGTGAAAGGCAAAGTTGTGGGGTGTCAAACTGCAAGGGAGGGGAGGTTCTAAGGGCATTACATTTAGTCCTGTTGGTTAATGTATGCCTTAAAATTTCTGCACCCTTGCAATGAAGTTGGTAAGTAGTGGGATGAGAATGCCCTTGTTATATAAAGCACATGAGCCAGATGGAATACCGTCTCTAACATTAATACAACAAAATACTTGGGAAACAAAAGCTACCTAATCAAGGGCAGTAGAAAAATTGAAAACACAAATTGCTGTACGAGGCAACAGAGTGAGAGAAAGGTTGAGTCTTAGAATTGTCTTAGAGTAAGAGAAATATCTGTGCAGGGTCTGGTGCTCTGAGCAGAAGGCAGGAAAGTCAAGATTTGTAAAGACAGGTGAAAAGAAGAATCTGAAAGTGCATTAAATGCTGTCTCCAGGTTAAGTGAATTCCTATGCTAATAAAGCTGCACTAGCATTGGGTTATGGCAGTCTAATTACACACTGCAAGAGGTGCTGCATGTGAATGACTGCGTGCAGCAGCCTGCTCTGTCAGGTGGTGGTGGCTGGTACACAGCTGGAAGTTGTCAGTCGTGGTGGTATTTTAGTGTTTGTCTCATGTGTGTGTTTCACAGGATACAAAGATTGGCCAGTGGAGTACAGCTGCTTTTCAAAGTTCTGAGCGAGGGATGAAATTTCTTCGACTGATGGGTGGTTTCAAAAAGGGCTCTGCACCTATGGAAGATCTCTCTGTGACTACGAACAAACAGAACATGGCTTTGAGCAGGGAAGGGGAGGAGAAGTTACAGCAGGCTCTGAAGATGGAATTTGACAAAGCAATGGACTTGAAGCAACACAAAAGAATTGGTCTTGGATTTCAACCTGCTGCCAACAGGAAAGTGTACATAGACAAATATGCATCTAGATCTATAAAATTTGCAGATTAAAACTGAAGTAATGGAATGAAAATGGGGAAATTTATTTTTGCTTTCCACTTATTTTTACTTGAAATAAAATATGAAGTGTTCAGTACATTGTACTTATGAGGCATTTTTAATACAAGTTTTCAGCTTCTAGCTTACATGGAGTTGTGTCCTCACTTGGACACAAAAGGAGCTAAGAACAGTAGGATCTCAAACCTTTCCAGCGTTTTCCACAGACAAAAGAAAATTTCCCTTAGAGATTGAAGGTATGTGGACAGTGCCTGCAAGAAAGTAAAAATTGGTAATTTTTAAAAAAATAGATTTGATAAGCTTTTTTTAGCTGCATCTTTGCGATTCAAAAGGATTTTAATATTCTGTAAAATCTTCATGTTTTTACACTCAGTGAGCAGTACAAAGTGATGGTGTTGTACTTGGAAGAAATACTACTGGGTTGCCTACAAATTTCATGAGGGGAGACTTAACCATGGAAGTGGTTTCTTGACTATTGGCATCCTCACTATAATAAAAATACTCCCGAACGTCCTGTTTCAACATGCTCTAGCAGTGAGTCTCAAGAAGCAGCCGTTACCTGTAAATAAACACTTTGTGAGCAGGTTTCCTAAATTATAAAATCAAGGCGGTTGTAATATGCATTTATGGGTTTATTGTAAATGAATGAAATTTTTAATCTTCAGACTTTCATGCAACCTGCACTTTCACTTTCTGAACACAAACTATTAAGAGCGTATTGTTTACGTTGAGTTCAGAATTGAAAGTTCCAGAGCACTGTTTTGTGGGAGGTTACAAAAAGATAATGAAGAAATGTCCCATATTCCATCACTGCGTGCTGTTTGTTGTGGGATGTGGTGTTCTGTAAGTTTTCAGGTCATCCTGGTTTTTGAGCGTGACAAGACGACCATCTCTTATGTCTGGGACTGCTGTAGCAATGGTGGCCTACTTGCAGGGAACCCACCATGCTCAACACAAGTTACTGTCTCTACTTACATCTCATTCTTCTTCTGTTTTACCTGTCCTTTCTGATAAGATGGTGCGAACTAATCTGCTAAATTTTTTGTTCTTTTAAGGCAGCCTTTCTTTGCACAGTAGCCTTTTCTATCAGACTGCTGTGCCTGAAAGCAACTGACTCCTGGCAGAAAATATGCAGAACGGTGTGTTTCAGTGCATTTTGGGCAATGCCTATGGGGAAATGAAAAATCGTGCAGAGACTCCAGCAAAAGCCATACCTGGGGAAGGAGGTACTGAACCACTTCCTACAGGGCCTGGACTTGGCTTTGAGAGAACTGTTGCATTTAAGGACTGGCTTCAGCACCTTTCTGGGCTGCAGCTGTGGCTTGGCTTCAAGTACCACAGATTCAGAGTCAGAAAACATTCTTATGAAGACAGATGCTGAATTCAGGCCTTCAACTACTTGGCAAAAAATGCATTGAAATAATGGAATAGGTGGGAAATTGTTAACTGATGGCTTCCTTTAAGAAGGGAAGGACAGAACAGCATGTACAGATCTCTGCTGCAGAGCCATTACTGGGTATGTAGTGACTGGCCTTGCATTGCCACTGCTGAAGAGGCTGAAGGGGATAATAGTTCTACACTTGCCTTTGGATGTGGATGTTTACCCCCTCTAGCCATATATGATGTACAACACTTGCTGAACTGTAGCTCTGTGCATGGCTTGACACCTTGCCCTTGCTAATGTTGTCACAGTTGGAAAAAGAAGACATCCAGGACAAACTAACTTCATAAAGCAGTCAAATTTGCTCTAGCTTGTGTACTTACTGCATACAGAAGCCGCACGGGTCTTTAGTAAGTGGGATGCTTAAACTAAGAATAATTTTTCTCTAACATGGAAGTAAGCCAAAAGCAGGTTATTAGAGTGGTGGGGTGAGCTTCAAGGCTGGATGTTTAAAGTTGCTCCTGGTGTCAATGGTTTACGGGCTGGTTCGGCCCGATTCAGTGACGAGCGGGGTGGAGGGATCCGCAGATCCGCGCCTCCAGAAAAAAAGGAAACAGGGGACCCCAAAGTAATTAAAGACAGCGGCACCGATCTGAGGAGAAACAAACTAATTTACTAAGTATATTATCGGAATGCAAGATAAGACATTATAATACAATATAATCAGAATGGAAGCTAATAAATCAAATATAATGAGAGAGAGAATGTCCGAAAGGTGGATAGGCCTCAGCACAAGGCTGAGGTGAGATGCGCAGTGCAGTTGAGCAGCAGGGAGACGGGAGCAGCGCCCACAACGAAGGGCAGGCAAGAAAGAGCAATCAGCTGGCCTTGCCAGGAGTTCAACCTCCTCTCCCTGACCACAAGGTCCCCTGGGGAATGCAGTTCTTCTCTTCAGGGCAGGTACCCAGGACTTGAGCATTGACAGTTAAAGTGCCAGCGCCCCACATGATGTTATGATGTGGAATACCAAAAGCCAAAAATCACAAAACCATGACACCTGGTAACTAATTAGAGCTTTCTGGCTATAACCAAGCTGTTTTTGCACTAATCAAAGCATCAGTAAAAACCTTGAAAACCTTTTCCATGGCAGTCTTACATCAATAAATAAAGTTATACTGTGCACAAAAGATGACAGGCAAAAATGGGTGTCTGTGGGGGAAAAGGAATGGTTGGCTGGGCCAACTAAGCCTGCTGTAAGTTTCCATTTTACAGATCCTGGAACAGCTCCACGCTGGGCTTGGAGCAGCGCATTTACCCCTGCAGGACAATTTCTACCGTACTGCAGCTGCTCTCGGTGACCTACTTGGCTGGTTAGACACTCGGTTCAATCCCACTTACCCAGTTTCCAAGTGTAAGAGAAAGAATCATCCATGTGCTGCTGAGAGTTGCTTTGTGCAGCTGCAGCAAAAAGGGGAGCTAAATCATAGTAACATATGTGCAGTACTGTCATCTCACTATGCATAGGATACACAGAATTATCTAAAGAAAGTGTAATTAAATTGGGTACTGAAGGTTAGAAATGAATATATGGTTCTAGCGAAACCAATTATATGCTTAGCTGCTGTTAAACACTAGGCAGTCATTTGCTCACTTCCCCCACCTCCCAGTGGCATGGGGGAGAGAATCACAAAAAAAAAAAAAAAAACAACCCACAAAGTAGAATTTGAGGGTTGAAATAAAACTATTTATCAAAAAAGGAACAACAACAACAAAAGTTTTATATACATATGATACTTATATACAGACAAAAGAAGCAATGCACGACGCAGTAGCTCACCACCTGCTGACCGATGCCCAGCCAGTCCCCAAGCAGAAGCTGCCCACCCTGACCAACTCCTTGTTTTCAAGCTGCTTCTGCATGATGCCAAACGGTACAGAAAAGCCTTTAGCCAGTTGAGGGCAGCTGTCCTGGTTCTGTTCCCTCCCAGCTCCTTGTGCCCCCCCAGCCCCCTCAGCAGAAGGAGAAGCTGAGAAACTGAGGCATCCTTGGCTCTGCTCAGCAACAACCAAACCATCCGTGTGCTACCAGCAGTCTTTCTCCTAAAGCCAAAACACAGCCTCATACCAGACACGGTGAAGGAAAAATCAGCTCTGTTCCTGCTGAAAGTAGGACATCTGCCTTAACAAAGAGAACATTGCTGTGCAAATACATCTTAATATGTTAAAATACTGCCACACAGAAGTACCAATAGATGCAAGATCACACTGTGGTTGCTTACCACAGGACAGAAACGGACAGAATGAAATTTATTAGGTATAAAAGCAGTGCACACAGGTGAATTACAGCATGACTAGGTAATAAACTTGTATACACAAAGGAACTCCTCCAGAACAAACAGGTGAGCTGCAAATTGCTTTATTCCGTGATACAGCATACTAGAGAATATGCGTACATGTCCATTTTCCTTTGCAGACAGCATTTAAAGATACAAAACACTACTGAACTGAAGTGATATTACAAACGCAGCTGAGAAAATGTATATTAGAAATTAGAACAGTAACACTTGGTCCATTTTTCTCTTACTAAAACTGACCAAATGTTGGCAGCATTCCAAAGCAAGAGGACAACTTAGTAGGATTACTACACTGAAATACTGCTTTTACGCGGGAGAAACACTGCTCTACAGGCAGGATGAAGTCTGGGGGCTGCGAATTGATCTGTGTAGAGTATCAGATTTTATTCCTTTGTCGCTACAATGACAACAAATTTTATTTGGAAAGGCTGAAATATCTTTTACTGAATCTAACCTGGATTTAAAATACAGTGGCAGAACTGGAAACAAAAAATTCAGATTAAATTATTGCACTCAGAACTGTTTTACCTGTACCCAAGTAAATCCGTCACTCTAAGTAAAATTCAAATGCAGTGAATTCCAGTCAAAGACCAGAAGAATCAGCGATTTGTGGCCTTGGCTACATGCTCACTTTCACATAAGGCTCCCTGGAAGAGGCACTCATCAGGTTCTTGACTGCAGAGGAAGGCGAAGGGCCAAGTCTGTGAAGTGACTCATATCAGGTTGTTTGCTTTGCCTCTTCATGTATTCCAGAGTTTTTACCTGGGTACAAAAAGAAAGGTGTTTTGAGACGTTTAGTCTTTGTCTTTTCTCATTTCAGAGGCCACAGTTTTGCTAAAGGAAGGCATTTTAACAGACGCACCTCTGATTTCCCCTAAATTCTACTAGATACACAACCTCTTGCTTCTCTGACTCCAGAGCTGGTGACCATAGACACTTTTCTCAAGCAGTGCTCTCAAGTGCTCACATTCCAATATGTCAACATACAATTCCTCCACTACATAACAACGTTGTTGTTCTTTAAAAGCTTACATTTTCTGTCTGAAAAGTGCAGAACCCCATATTTCCAGATCCTTTAATGTGTGAAATACTTTTAAAAATGTGAGAGACAGAGCAGATTGGTACAAATAAGTGAAGCTGTTTTATTTATTAAGAAGCATTTTAAAAAATAAAGTTGTTGTTTTTTGTTTTAAACTTAGTTCAAAGCCCAGTTAGAACAAGACAGACACTTGTAAGGAGATCAGGTTCGTCTAGGTCAAGAAAGGGCTCTGGAAGCCTCCTATTTCATTGCATTGGCCCACAACATCAGAGAGGGATGTTGGTGGGACTGCAGTAGAGGCTGAACCTTCCCACCAATATCCCATCACATTTTGTAGTCTTACAGAACAGTGTCTGACATGCGAGTGCAGATAAAGCATAGAGGTGGAACTGAATTCCTCCATGTGAATAAAATGGCACCCACTGATATTCAACAGTATCTGCTAAAAGTCTGTGCAGACCGAACAGCAGGTGTTAACACAGTGAAGGATGGGGGGGGTGTTTCAGCAACGGCAACAGCAGCATGAAAGACAACTGATGTTCTGGACAGCCATGCACAGCTCTCACACCACAAAATGAAAAGAGTCTCGATCAGCTAATCAACACAAATCAGCTGGTCACAACCAGAGAACTGTGTGCAAACCTGATTTCATTCTATGACAAGGTGACCCACTAAATGGATGAAGGGAAGGCTGTCAAAGTGGTCTACCTGGACTTCAGTAAAGCCTTTGACACTGTCCTTCACGGGGCGAAGCTGGCTGGGCACCTCAACACAGAAAGGACATGGAGGTGCTGGAGCAGGTCCAAAGGGCAACAAGGCTTGTGAAGGGCTT